GATTCATCAGTTTCGATATCAATTTCGATAATCGCTTATCCGTTCCTCTAGCAGCAGCGCCAGATGCGTCGGACAGTTTCTGCAACGTTACCTATCCCGTGCCAACGTTTGAGCTTCGTCAGAAGATGAACCTAGTCTAGAACGGAGTCCTTCGATAAATTTGACCTAGGTCCGTTCTAAGCCGTCCCCTGGGTCTTCGCCTGGCCAGTTTGCCGAGTAACCAAAGTTTGAGTTGTTTCGCCTTTCTTCCTGAAACATATGAAACGGGTACTCATGCTATCGCAGCCAATGTGGAGAAACAGCCAATCCACACTAAGGCTTTCCTGGATTTCTGTACTCCAGACTGTTTCGAGACGCGTGAGATCAGCTTTTCTTCCCAGAAAGGCTATTTCAGCCGCTTTTGCCCAGAATCGAAATTTTTCTGTCATTGTCCACGACTCATGACCGTACCCATCAGGACTATGTTCCATCTGATTTCCGAGAGCTTAATCTTCAGATCCAGCACTGCTTTATCACAACGGTTCGGGCTACTTCTCGTAAAATGCCACTGGCTACTTCAATCCGTCGGTGCATCCATCCCTTCCTCAAATTTTCAATCACCAGTAAACACGACTCCGAGATATTTGAACTTCTCCACCTGCGCCGGTGTTTCTCCGTTAATCTGAAGAGAGCAACGGGCACGAGAAGGAGAAAGCACTAGGCTTTTCGTTTTAGATGCGTTCGCGCGCATGTCGGTCAAATCGCACTCAACTGCGAACCTCTCAACAGAGCGCTGGAGATCAGTTTCAGAACATGCCAACGAAAAAAGATATTCTGCACACTGCAACCTTCTTTTCTGCACATCTACACCGACACACCCATCGCCTTGGCTGCTCCTGACTATTCTATCCATGTACAACACAAACAGGAGAGGGGACAGGACGCAGCCTTGGCAGAGATCTGTGCCAGTGATGAAAGTTTTCGACTTAACACTATTTACTCTGACGCAGCACCTGCCATCGGAACAAAGTGACTGGATGGCTCGTAGCACATGGCCGTGGATCCCATATGTTTGCAGACACATTCATAGCTTGCTGCGCGGGATATGGTCATAGTCTTTCTTCAGATCAACAAGCATATATTATTCAGGTGAACGAACTGCCTTGCGCAAGACAAAGGTCTTGTCAGAGATGCTTCGGTCTGACCTTAAGTCAGCTGTTCTTCTTGTGTCTTAGAGTCGGTTATTCCGCGACATTTCCTTTCTACCACTTTTGTTTGGACAACAACATTTATTTCACGAAAAGAAAGGTGTCATAAACGATGCCAGTCATAGAGCTGGGAAGATGATCGAAACCCCAACGGTTATGAAGTTTTCTTTTCAATTTCATTACAGATCTCAAAATGACTACTTCAAACTATGCATGTATGTAAATATAGAACCTGAATGGATCTGTTCTTATCATCAAACGATATCTGCATCCAAAAACATTTTTTCAATCATTCCATGCTTGCTAGTATGGTACAAAGTATCCAGCATCATTATATGTGGTTCTAAGCAGCGTCGAAATGTCAGAGGGGAGGATGCTTTCATGCTTAAGATCGTGATAAAATTGTAAGCCGAAACGTTATCACAGTAAAATGACAGTATTCTGCTCCTTGTTTGCGATGCAAAGTAGAAACTTGATATTTTCTCATTCATGGACACTCTCGCGACTAGTTTGAGTTCTGAAACCTTGAATTACCTATTCACTCTCTGACGTACGGTCCTCACTGCATGGCTTTCCTGCACAACTCAGAGCCAAGATATTCGTAACTTTATTTATACTGTTTTTAACACACGACGGCGCTAGGCGCCGCTAACTGCAGCAGTGAAAATTTTGGCTGTATCGCGGAGTTGAATAGCGCGTTACTCAAGCAGCCGCTGGCCTTGCCTTTCGGCTACCAGCAAGTCTTAAGTGAATAGGTGAGCCTCCCAACTCATCGACGTAAAGTACCGGCTGCTAAACCGGCATTATTCAACAATTAACATGGAACGCAGGTTTTGCGGAAACGTGACTCATTTCATTCCATCGCAAACCTCTCATGCTTTAAACAGGACTGCGAACTTAGACGAAAACGAACGATTCTTGAACGAAAACACCTTCCAAGTTAAGACGGGCATACGTTAATTCGCTGGACATGAACCGGAATCGTTCATCACTTCTACATAGTTGGTCCACTGGTTTGCGAGAATGGTTCTGACTGCCCATTCTTTACGATGTCACTCGAATGTAGATTCAGGGTTTAGTCGTCTAAGAAGCTGTCGATGACGGCCATTTTCAAAATGAGTATGTACATGTTCTCGAAAAGCTACACAAAGTTTGACCGGGACGGATGGGAAGGGAAAGTTGTTTGCGCTATGAAGCAAAGTTCTGAAAGAAAACGTTTTACAGCCAATGAAGCAGCTCATGAAAATTGTTCCGTAACACAACAGTTCGAATAAATTTTAGGTGCCATACGCAACTTTGTTAACGCAATACTGATCTACTGTTATAACTCAGCTTGCCGCCCCGTGAAAAAGCAATTCACGGTCGTCCTCAATGAGGCAACAGAGCAGTTTCTGTATAGCTCTAGTGTTAAAATCACGGCTTGCTGAAGAATTTTTAAATTAAAGCTGAAAAACAGAGAATGGCGATAGCTTCCTCAGGCTTCTGCAATTGACCAGACATGG